TGGACCAATCTTATAAAAACTACTTGACACAAAAGAAGAAAGTGTACACCAAATTTTCGTGATTTGCTTTTGATGTTACATATATTCGTTTCAATAATTTCCAATGGGGCTCCTTGGGGAATTTATTTTTAGCAAAAATTTTAGAAACAGTAATTTTGTTTACTTGTCTGGCACTATTTTTTTCATATGGATATACATTGGATCCTTGGCTAAAAACTTCTGTGGTAAAACTGTCCCTTCTTTGCTATTTAAAGTCAATGAGTAAGCTCCTTCAATAGGGATTTCCAGAAGAAATTATCAACTTCTGGTTTTAAAGAGAATCGATGCTCAAATAATTAAAAAACTATAGGTCTGACCTTTAATAAGATAATAATTACGCAACTATCTGAGATTCAAATGCTTATAAAAAAACAGGGCGCTTTTCTGGCAGCCACGACTTTGAAAATAGAATTTTGCTCAATATTTTCATTCCAGGAAATTAATAATTTATTTTCCATATGCACCTAATTTACCTCGTCATAGGACAAATTTTTCAAACCAGTCGCAGAAGAAAGTATTAAAAATTAATTCCAAAAACTAAAATCGAAAAACGCTGATGAAGTTTTAGATTCCCCAAATTCTGAAATAGCCAAAGGAATGAGAATGAAGAATTCATTTTACAAAGCTTTAGAAAAACCTGACATATCTGGTTTGGCTTGTAAGCGCTGTTTAAACAACGATCTCGCCATTATGCTAGGTTCTAATTGTCTAATGTTGGCTGTTAGATATTCGCATCCGCATTCGTATCCGCGGATGTCTAAAATTCCACATTCGCAACATCCCTACTACATACATACATTTTATAATTCCAAAGTCCCATATTTTATTCCAAATTCCAGCTTGTGCATTTCCCCTACCTACACTCCAAGTATGCCCACTAAAAATGCTTTTAGCGAACTTTAATTACACAACCATATTAAGGACTTCTTTGTGTAGCTTTTATGTGCATATAAATACGTACATATACAAGGTTACTATGATCTTTCTTGGCATTTTAATTTTCATGAAAATTCCATTATGAACTGCAATTAATCACTCCAAACATATAGCACCATAATTTATTTATAAAAATGAACCTCCCCTATAAAGGTGCATATCGTTACTTTAAAATAGAAAGGCCATAACTCATTTTCATTCGAAACTTAGCAGGGGGAGGCGCGAACTCGTCCATTACCTATGTATATACCCTTGTGGTCAGCTGATTAAGTTAAGTAACATTTTGACCACTCTTGGGTTTTTCTTTTGTTTATTAAATGTGTATGGTTTTTTTTTTATAAAAGTCTAGCACATTACATAAACAGAAAGACAATTTTTCCACATTTCAAACTTCGTACATAAATTATCAAAATTCAACAAACTTAAACAATTACACCCAATAATTTTAAACTTTTTGTTCTGGACTTTTAGAAAAATGCTAGGTATGCAGTTTTATAGCCCATTAAATTAAGGTAGGCTAGGAATTCGCGTTGATTTTACAACGCGTTTTTAATCATTTCCTTTGGCTGACAGTGCTAGGAGTTTTATTCTATATAAAAGGCACTATCTTAAGATAAAACGTGAGCGAATTGTACCCCTACTTGGCTTCTTATATTTTTAATAACTAATCTTTAATATGGACCATACTAAAAGCTCTTTTTCATATAAAAAATTCGTACGTGTCCCACCCGTGACAGAGGAATTTCGGATTTTTTTCATAATAAAGCCATCTTTTTTTGTAAATTTTGCTATATTCGTATTCGTGGTTCTTTGTTTTATTATAAAACATCAAGTTCACACAGAATAGTTTCCGTAAGATATATCTGCTCCAAAAAGCAGGATCCTTTTTTTGTCCCGTCCGTGACAGAAGACATAACTGTTTTTTCATATAAAAGTAAGCTGAACATTTTTTCGTATTTTGTAATAACTCACATAATAGTCAATTAGGTGTAGCTTTATCAAAATGCAGAATTGGTGAGTGCTTTATACTTAAATTTAAACGAGAAAGAACATTTTTCTATACAAATGTTCCACCCGTGACGGTGGTATCGTCCTTATGTATTTCAACATAATTTATTTATAACAAGTAAGAAAGTCTAAGTTCGGGCGGAGCCGAACATTAAGTATTAAATATATGTTTTTTCACCTTTCCGAAAGTTACCGCTACATGGTGTATCAATTGTGAGTAAATAGCGTCCTTAAGTTTTATGAAATTTACCGTTATATGAAAAGCGGCCGTAATTTTAGTCCGATTTCAATAATTTTCAACGTTTTGCTTTCATGTGGCAAGCAAAATAATCATGCCGAATTTGGGACAAATTGGTAGAACGGTTACCTATATGTGATCATAAGTGGGCTGTGCCACGCCCATTTTCCAACATTTTATCATAAACGTATTTCTTGGTGAAGCATTGTAGCAAGCATTAGTTTTGAATAAATTAGCTTTAACATTTACTGATATATCGAAGTTTTTGGATTTCTCTAAATTACCGTTATATGGGATGTGGGCGTGGTTATTGTCCGATTTTTTAAATTTTCGACCATTTAGTATGTTATACCAAGGCCAACAACTGTGACAAGTTTGGAAGAAATTGGTGCAGCGGTTACCAAGATATACACATGTAACCATAAGTGGGCGCGGCTACGCCCATTTTCCAAAAATTTATAATATTCTTATTTTTCGTCTAAAATGTCTAGTAAATATTAATTTTGAGTGAATAATCTTCAGTAGTTACTAAAATATCGTAGTTTTCGTATTTCTGAGAACTACAGTTATATGGGAAGTGGGCGTGGTTATTGTCCGATTTCGCCCATTTTCAATACCAACCTACTTTGGATAAATGGAAACATACATACCAAATTTCGTTGAGATATCTCAATTTTTGCTCGAGTTATCGTGTAGACGGACGGACGAACAGACAGACATGGCTTAATCGATTTCTCTACTCATTCTGAGCATTTATGTATACATTTGTCTATATCTATCTCGATTCGTTTTGGCTGTTACAAACAACCGTTATGTGAGTTTGCGGATCTCAGGCTATTTTCGATAACTTCATGTTTACTAATGCTTAGAAATGTTCCATTCCTAATGCAAATGGCGCATCAGAAAATTGAAAATGGGCAAATAACTCGATTAGTTTCTACAACGTGCGCGGGAGCACAAAAACTATACCGGGCAGCAATTCGAGCTCCGATAAGCTCAGACGGTGTATTCTCTCTCAGGCGGCGACAGTAGAAAAGGAAAGCCAAAAAATAAGCGTTGATAACATTACTCATTTCAAAGTGGAAAAACATACATTTGTATCCACCTTAAGATACAGACTCCACCATAAACTCTTGGATTTAGGTTAATGAATTCAAAAATTATTTAGAAGAAAATCCTTTTTCTGAAAGCGCGAATTTTGTTTTTACCTAACCAATTTTACCTTAAGGAGTGAAGAAAAGAAAACTTTTCAGAAAAATTTTGGGGAAAAATGATTCGTAATCCGAGGTTATATGGTCAATTCAAATACTTGAAATTGCAGATTTTAACAGCTTGTAAAGTATTTTTAGTTCATTGTCTATTTTATATAAGTTTATGCACACATATAAATGTTATAACTGCTGTAGCAATGAAGTCGAAATATACATATGCACCTTGTTTTGGTTTTAAAAAAGTTTTTTTCAGCACATAAATATATAAAACGAAGTTTTTTATGGCAACGCTGTATGTGAGGTAGAATTAATTATTTTCTAGAGAGTAAAAACACTCATATTTTAAAATGGTTCTCTTTTTTATAAAGAATTCGCATTTCTGTCCAATATATTTCAGGACGAATGGATAAGGCTTGAGCCAAAAAAGGGCCATTCTGGTGGGAGTTGGTGGGTTAAGCCGTAAGAAAAAAGTTTACCACTCTTGTTTTCAAAATGGCGACCAATCTAAAACCTGCAAAAATTTTAAGAACTTCATAATTTAACATAACGGTAGATAAGGTTTTTACAAAAATTTATTAGTAAATAGTAGTAGTAGTATTATTACTCCAATTGATTAACTTTTTTAATTTTTATATTTCTTTAAAATTAGACAGTACATGGGGATCTGTAGAGATGATAGAAAACCATGTATGTATTTATGTATCTATGTACCTCAACTCCTTCGGTTCGCCCATCCATCAGCGCCAGGCACTCAACCTTTTAACTCAAGTAGAAAGAAAAAGTATTTAAATTTAAAACTAAATCAAGAATGAATTAAATAGAATTATTATCTGAATTGGCATGTCGAATGCCTAACGCTGACGAGAGTATATGATAAGATTAGTAGCCGTATGGCTCTTTGGAATCTGTCTTATGGACAATTGCGCCGGCGTCACCGCCGCCGCCGCCGCCGCCTTAAAGTCTGTCGGCGGAAACCTCTAATATACATACATGTGCACTTTCATGCATATAGAATGCGTGTATTTATACTTTAGCAATATTTACCATATTTAAATCGTTCTCTACTACTAGTACCCCTTCACAGTTCTGCAAGTATCTACATACATATATTTAATTCTAAGGGTATGTCGCATCAAATTATTTTAAAACTCACCCCTTCACAAGGTTTGTTGATTTTCGTGCAGATGCTTTAATTTTCAGAATTTATCACTCACAGTTCCAGCGGTAAACTTTAGTACCGCCTGGGGCAGCATTAGCGAATGAAATATGATAGCTTTATGCATGTAAATACATACATATGTAAGTAGGTTTGTGTTTATACGTACATACATACATATATCGCCGTTTAAAGTGCAAAACCGCGTATCCAGTCATACCAAAATATCGATATTTAAATATTAATGATCGAGATAATTGGGGATAAAATGAAGGAGAGAACCGTTTTGAAATAATCTCTCTCCTGTAAAATTTGGTCAACCTCACATACGAACTAGATAATTTTTATTACTTTTTTATTAACTATTTATGCATTTGTGTTGACATTTCGCCATCTGACTTTTTCTTTTCAGGCGCCAATGGCCTTCTATCCTACATGGCAAGCCGACCCCTCACAGGGCTGGCAGAATCAGTTTATCCAGCAAATCCCACAGAATACTCCACCCATTTCATCGCTCAACTCGTTGGATTTCCAAACGCAGTCATATGCCTACCCATCAAATGGATATGTGCAGACCGGCCTCGGATTCGATCCGAATTATGGGCGCTCCCCATATGGTGCTCCGGTACAGCGTTACGATTTCCAGAGCCAGCAACTACCGACTGCGCCCATTAACCAAGTTGGCCTGCAGGGTGTTGGTTTCAGTCCGGCCGCTGTTACGTACGCCGGTCAGGTGTCGGCAGCACCAGCTCCACCCGCAGTTGGTTTGCAACAACAGCAGCACTTGGGTGTATCTGGTGATTTGAATAAGACGATGTCGGGAAACGACACGCCTGGATATCCGCGAGTGAGCAGCGTGCCGCCGCGCTCACTCAACTGTAACGGGTATTCAGGCGACTACAGCGGCTCAAGTCAACAGCAAACGTCTGCATCAAACAACAGCTCAGCTACGGTAGCAGGCTCCGCTCTTGCCGCCAGCAACTCGAGCACTACTCCACTCAATGGCGGTCAAACTACAGCAGCGCCGTCATCGGCTCCAACGGATGCAACACCAATGCAACCGCCTAACGTCTCGTCTGTGCCACAATCGCCGACGCGTAATCTGATGCAACAACAACAGCAGCAACAACAACCCCGCCATGTTTCTCAATCACCGAACCATATTCCTCAATCGCCCAACGGCAATATGCCTTCGGCTCAACAAACCTACGGTGCCAACATTCCACCCTCGTCACTTCATAACTCCATGCAACAGCAGCAGCAGCAGCAACAACAACAACAACAAGCACAGAATCATATTTCGTCGCCACCACAACCGCAGCAACAACAACAAATGCAACAGGACTGGAATTGGAACACCCAGCCCCAGCAGACATCTGCAGTTGGTGCTGCAACCGACCCTTACCAGCAGGGCGAACGTGTGAATCTCAACACACGCATCAAATCGATGATACTTCGCAAAAACGATCCCAAAGATCCTCTATCGAGTGCTCCAAGTGATCTGCATATGGCCAACAATCCGGGAGCTATTGGTTCCGGCCCTACCGCGCTCGGTACATCGCAACAACCACAGGCCGGTCATTTTTTATCATATAGCCACCATCTCCGCGGCGATTCAGTGATGAACGCCAATGGTACGACTGGTGCTAATATATCCGGCACACAGTCTTCACAGCAGCAACAACAACAACAGCAGCAAATGCAGGGCATTCAAACGTCCAGTAGTGTGGGTCTTACACCCGGACACAGCACATTAGCGCCAGAACCAATAGGAGGTGGTGGCGATCAAATTTGGAAACCACACCATACAAATTCGTTTAAGAAACCAGTGGCAAGTAGTTTTCCAGCACCCGAACATCACCATCAACAACAGCATACTACAATCAGTCATGGTGGGCACACCACCATTGCACATTCTGAACCACAACCAAAAAAATCGAGTCGTAAAAGTAAAAGTCGGGCGGCAGCAGCAGAGGCAGCAGAACATGATAAAAATAGTAATGATCCTGGTGGTGGACTGCATGGTCCCGTACATGGTTCACACAGCATAAAATCTATGGATAAGACTGGCTACCCTCCCTCCCATGGCTATCCGCCGCCACAACATCCCGACTACCACACACCGTACATCAAAACTGAGCCCGGCCTCTTGCCCACCCAGCATACCAAAATGGAGGGCTATGAACGCAACTACCAAAATTTTATACAATATGCTGATTTTTGCCAGAACGAGGTGCAGGGCATGCCATCACAACAGCAACACCATCAGAACCAGCAGGACTATGCGAGTTATCACAACTCACCATACTACGGCAGCTCCAGCTCATTCCAACAGAGCTATCAACAGAACTTCGTACCAGGCTATCAGCATTCATCAGCAGGCATGGGTTACGGCAGCACGCATGGCATGCATCCGCATCATTCAAGCTCTTTGGGACATTCTAGCCATCTGAAAGCGTCCAATGGGCCACTAATGAAGAGTAGTAATAGCGTCGGTTTGCATCATCACAACAATCACTTGATGGATATTGATCGGAAACCAGATACCAATAGCATTATACCCTTACCCACAAACTACGAGAAGGACATACCAGCGCATGCCTATCCCATACCACCTCATCGGTACCATCTAGGCCCAACACCTTCCCATTTAGGTCACACCATGATCGAGCCCAAAATTGAAGACATGGGCGTACTGGGCCATAACGCCGGTTACCCATTTTTAGGCGAAGGCGGACCGGCGGCCATCAAAAATAGTAGTGGCTTTTCGTGTTGTCGTCAAGGCAGCACCCGCACACCCACCGCTGAACACCTCAAGGATGGGACTTGTACAGGCATCCAAACCAAGGACGAAATAATGGAGGAGCCGATAGAGGAGCCAGCAGAAATTATCAGTGGCACGAAGCCTAAGAAGAAGGGTGCAAAGCAAGAAGATAATGAAATTGTGGTTAAGCATGAAAAAATCAATCCTTTGTTCGATACCTCAGATCGGCTGGAAAAGGGCAATAAGACGGAGATACCTGAGTGCGAATGCTTCCATTCCGATAAAAATCCACCAGAACCAGGAACATACTATACCCATCTCGGTGAGTCGTAATGTGTTCCCAGGCATGTAGATGACTAAACACTAAAACTTACTTACTTATTTTAGGCACTGCTTCGACACTGGCCGAGTTGCGTAGAGAATTCGAAGAGCGTTGCCAGATATCCGGTAGGCAGCTGCGTATAGAGAAAATCATTTACACAGGCAAGGAAGGCAAAACAACCCAAGGTTGTCCACTAGCGAAATGGGTTATCAGGCGCGCCGATCCAGAAGAAAAGATTTTGGTTGTTGTAAAGAAGCGGCCAGGGCATAGGTATAGAGAACATTAATATTTAAATCTCTAAAGGTTTCTTATAGACTAATGTTTGGTTTATAGGTGCGCAGCAGCTTTTATAATTGTTTGTATGGTTGCTTGGGATGGTATGCCACGTCTTGAGGCGGATAATGCTTATAAAAATCTGATACCAAAGCTCAATAAATTCGGACTTCCAACAACGCGCCGTTGTGCCACAAACGAAAGTCGCACATGTGCGTGTCAAGGTATGTTATCTTTCTTTCTATTTTTGGCTGGATTAAATTTTCTAATCACCTCATTTACTATCGATAGGCCTCGATCCTGAAACTTCAGCTGCATCCTACAGTTTTGGCTGTTCTTGGTCTATGTACTACAACGGGTGTAAGTATGCCCGCTCAAAGACTGTGCGCAAATTCCGACTCTCTGTAAAGAGCGAAGAGTCGGTTATCGAGGATCATATGAATCTTTTAGCCACGGCATTGGCGCCATTGTTCAAACAAGTATGCCCTCGGTCATATGACAATCAAACTAAGTACGAGAAGGAAGCGACAGACTGTCGACTCGGTCTGGAAACTGGCCGACCTTTCTCGGGCGTTACCGCTTGCCTAGATTTTTGTGCACACGCTCATAGAGATCTGCATAATATGCAGGACGGGTGTACAGTGCAGGTGGCACTGCTGAAGTCTTCCAACCGTGATGGCCGTCCGCCTGACGATGAGCAGCTACACGTGCTGCCGCTCTACACCATGGACACAACGGACGAATTTGAGAGTATGGAGGGCCAACGGGAGAAGCATCGCACCGGTGCGGTGCAAGTATTGGACAAGTGAGTGTAGTGTTGAGTTTTGAAAGCTCCCTAACGGTGATCCCTTAAAAACAGAGCCCCCATAACACAAACTTGTCTTCTTTGCACTTTCAGATTTTCTTGCGAAGTACGCGTTCGCTCCACGCCGCTTATACCCTGTCGGCGTCACGGCAAAAAGCGCAAAGAAGATGAAAACGTTGTACCAGAAGCAGAGGCCGCTGCTACCACAACCGTAACCACACCTACTACACCCACGCCTGCTGCCACTCCACAACCAACAACTAATTGCACCAATGTTAGCAACGCTAATGGCTCAGCAACCAACGTTGCCAACAGCAACTTAGCAGCTTCTGTAAATGGCAAGAAGGAAGGGGGAGGCAACAGTAAATCAAAGTCCAAATCAAAATCAGGTGCAGCAGGCAGTACAGCCGCCACAACTCCATCGTCAGCACCCCCGTCGACCCCTTCGCCGCGCTGTCAAACACCGGTAACCAACAACCCCAGTCCTGCAGGAAGCGCTTTTACTACGCCGCCAGTCAACAATGCTAACAATACTCACATGAACACCGCTGTGAACAATGCGGCCGGAGGTAATCCACCCAATCAACTCATGTCGTCCAATTCCAGTCTAATGAATATGGCGACTATGATTGATACCTTCACAGATGCGCAGTTGCAATCCAATCAGATCTCAAGCACGGTACTCGATTCGCCTTATTCGTACGACTACCAGACTGGTTCCTACATAGATTCACGAAACTACTACGGAAACTGGCCCCCGCCGCATGCTACTCATGCTACTCACGCCGTCAGTATGGGTACGCCATCAGGCCCGGCGACTACACCAATGGCGCCACCGCAAGACAATGTGCACCATACTACCACCGCTCCACTTACGCCTCACCACGATACGAGCGCTACTTACGCCAACAACTACAATAATCTGCCTACAGCTGGCAGTCAACAATTGACGCAAGTGCATGATGTGCGCGGGGAAGTAAAAAGCCGCGGCAGTGAGGAGAACCCCGACTCCACAACTATAGTAAATAATATAGTAAATAATACTTTAGCTGAAAGTAAGTTGACCACTCTCACTCCATTGACACCAATGACTAATCTAACTCAACACCACCATCATCCTCACCATCATGCTATGCCCATCGAAGAAGGATTCGTCAAACCGAAACCACCGGCAGACTATCAGTACACTCAGTACCCGAGCAACTACCAAATGTATCCGACGCCACATTCGGCCTACTCGGCGTACGATGCCTATCAGAATATGAACTACAACTATGGGTATCATCAAGCGTACTCACCTTACAGCATGTATCCACAGCAAACACCGCCACCCACGCCACCTACACCATCACCAAATTGGAACATGTACGGCCATCATCAAAGCACCGCATCTTCGGCTGCTTATGCCCCGACAGTACTGCCGCCAAACAGTGGTGCCCATCAACATTCATCGCTCGCCACCGCCGCACCACAAATGCAAACACAAATGCCGTTGCCCAACGGTAATCTGAAGCCCGCACTTCCCACGCTGGTTGTACCACCCACACCAACAACCGACACCCTACAGATGCAAGCGCAAGCACAGACTCAACTGCAGGCACAAACGCAGATACCAGTGGTACCACACCAGACTGTCCTCCCGGATCTCAGCATTACCAACACTCCCAACAATCAATCCACGCCCACTAACGCAGAGCTCACAAACTCAAACCCAACGACTGCTGTCAACGTAACTTCGCCAAATTCAGCAACCCCAATATCGGCCATTAACAACGATAGCAGCAACAACAGCACCAGCAATAGCAACGACAACAGCAGTCCGACGGCAACGACCGCTTCCACTGCCGAAAACGGAACAACCGCGGGAGTAACAACGAACACAAGCACGTCAACAACAGGAACTACGCCGACCGCTGTAGCGACCACTTCCAACCCAAACAAGCTGGAACCGATTGGGGAGGTAACAGAAATCAACGACAACTATGAAGCGTTCGCTGATCCCCAAATGGGCGGTGTGGCCATAGCGCTCAATCATGGTAGCGTATTGATCGAGTGCGCAAAGCACGAACTACATGCGACCACTGCGCTGCGAAATCCCAACCGGCATGAGCCAACGCGAATGACCCTTATATTCTATCAGCATCGCAATCTAAATCGCGCAAGGCATGGTATCGACGAGTGGGAGGAGAAGATGCGTGTGAAGAAGATCAACACTGACCTCGATAACAAAGCCAAAGAAGAACGCGAAAAGTTGAAGAAGGAGCGTGAAGGTGGCGAAGAGGATGACGAGGAAGCAGAAAATGCGCTCTCCAATGGTGCTGCGCAAGGTTCAAGCAACAGCGGTAAGAAGGATGGCGCCAACGCAAACAATGCTAATAGTAACGGCTCTACAGCACCTCCGGAGACGACAGCGACCACAGCGGTGACAACAGCAACTACGAAGAGCGGCGGCACAGGTGGTGGTTCGGCTAGCAAAAAGAAAAAGGAATCGGGTAAGAAGAATGCAAACTCAAATGCAAATGTGAACGAAATTGCTAATGAGAATTCTGCTTCTTCCGTTGAGCAGGCAAAAAGCGAGAAACGAGTTGCACTCCACGCGCCAACACTAACAACAACCTCTTGGACGACCCTCTTCCCTATGCATCCGTGTGTGGTTACGGGACCCTACCAGGAGGGCAACACTAGTCCGTCAGCGGCTGCAGAAGTAGAGCAGCAGGTAGCACAACAACAACAACAACAGCAAATGCAGCAGCAGCAACAGCCGCTTAAGCAGCAAATGCCAGCTTAAGGGCATAGCTGGTACAGTTCTGGTGATGGAAAGTGCATGGTCGGGCATGTTTCTCAACGGAAGAGAGCCACGCACGCGTTAGGTCAGTTGGAAATGCTTTCTTGTGTATGTGTATGTATGTACACATTTATGTATGTATATGGTTAGGTACTATGCTAAACAAGCTGACGCTTATTTTATGCCATTCAGGCATGCCCAGTACTCAACTATATCTTAAACTGGCGTTGTACATATTTTTTACTCGTAGAGTGCCATATTTTTTAACTTACTGAAAAGACGGATGTAAACATTTCAGCCGAGATTTTCATATAACACCAGGATCAAAGCGCTGGTGCGCTAAAGCCATTTTGAGATTGATTATTTCACACAAATACATTCATATATGCACATATATTATGCATTTTTTTTATTTGATGGTATAAAATACCAATGCGAAAGCGATCAGGATGAAATATTTACTACACAAAAAGAGGTATGTCATTTGTAATTTTCGAAAGTAGTAATTTTAGAAAACGAAGACATTGCATATACGTACATACATAAATGCAGTTTCACTCATTCACTTCACTCAATCAATCACTTCAATTCACTCATCAACACACATAACAAATTGATTTTTATTTTTTGGAACGTATTTTAGCTAAACTATTTTTTATACTTTACTCATAAAGACATTCAATTTTTATTGTCGCTGTTTTTATTGTCACGTTTTATTGAAGTGTTACCATTATTCAATTAAAATGTATGCCATATACATATACGTACATATTTTCATAAAAGTTGGCAATTAAAATTTTAGTCTTCTCAACTTAAATACATATATTTTCCAATACAGAAAGGAACGATTTAGATCATGCCCTCTATTCTAACAGAGTCACAAAACTTAGCTCATCACTGTTGTGATTTCAAGTGCGCCGAGAAATGTGTCACAAAAAATTCGATTTTGAGTGCTAGAAAAATACACAAAAATTTAAAAAATTGAATTGAAGCGGCATATTCAAGGCAAATACATATAAGGTGGCATCGATTCATCAAATACAACAATTACTTGTATTTTGTTTTTGCTTTTAGCGGGCCATTGTCAAATTTCAGTTATTCTTCCCCGAATGAAAAAGGGCAAAAGAAAATACAAACACTCTCACGTTTTCACTCACTCGCTAACGAAATACAAAATTTTGACAATCAAACGCTACTCACAGCTGATGAAACAACACCACCTTATATAAATTCGCCTTGGGCATATTTTTTGAGCGGCAAGCTTTGAGGCGCGGTAGAAATCACAGCAGTGATGAGCTTGAGTTTGTGACTTTGTTAGAATACGGCTGCATATTTCTTATTCTAAATGCTATGCGTTTGGTTACCTTTGCTTATACATATCGTCGTTTAAAGTACAAAACCGCGTATCAACAAAATGCAAAAGCGCGTCTGTGAGGTTGCATTAATTATTTTCTAGATAGTAACAACACTCATATTTCAAAATTGCTCTCTTTCTTATAAAGCAATTGCATTTCTGGCTAGTATATTTCAGGGCGAATGGATAAGGATTGAGCCAAGAGCATGTGTGAGCAAATCCAATTTTTGGCAAAAAATGTCAGTTATGCGGTTTTGAAGAACGACGATACGCGGTTTTGCACTTTAAATGACGATATCGTTACCTTAATGCACAAAGTTCGTAACCAACAAATTTTTAATTTTGCAGCACAAGCAAAAAACTTTATAAAAAGAACATCAAAAACAGGTAGGGCGTTTTAAAAAGTGGCATGTAACTCCGTGTTTTTGGAACAGTTTCGAAAAACATGTTCTAGGGTCTTTGTAAGGTAACGATATACAGAACAACTATTACAAATATCAAATACTTTCAAAATACTAAAACACTAAACTATTTAGACAGCCACCATGCTAGGTATGCAGATCCGTACTATTCACATTATTATTTCGGTAATATATTCTCAACTAACAAACTGCAAACAAAACTAAAAAAACAAAGAAAAATAAAAGGAGAAAACGTAATACATTCAGTTGCAAAAGAAATATTTTTTTTTTTTATGAAGCAAGAAAACACTATGAATACATACGTATATTACTATGATAAAATTTAAGTCAACAAACCAACAACAAATCTAAATAAGTAAATATCAAGAAAGAATTACTGTTAGAAAAAGAACATTGCCAAAAGTACAAAGAAAATAAAACCGTTTTTAATACATATGAATACTAAGTAAAACATAATTTCACTACTCGAGCGCATTCACTCATACATACGCAAATAACTAGTTGATAAAGGGAATAATTTTTATTAAAAAAAAACACATAAAAGTGCACATACATTCAAAAAAAGAGTCAGAGTAAATTTCAGTAGTAATTGCATACATATGTATGTATATAAATAATAATAAAAAAAAGTTGAATAGCAATTTGTCAGTTGAAAACATAAAAGAGATACACAAATAACCAGTAAAATACATAGTATATGTATATCGCCACCATCAATGCAAACCTTTCTGACAAATTTGAAATTTCATGGGAGAAGCCAAGGCGAATTTATATGTATTCGCCTTGGGAAAAGCCAAACATTTTTTTAATTTACGGAAATGCTTAGAACAAACAAATTTCCGAAAACATATCAAGTTGGTCCTTTTGCATGTATGATGATGATGATATACACATGTAAGAAATGCGAAAAACTTGAGCATGCAATATTTTAATGCGTAATCGCACGCACAGCTATTGGCAGCAAGTTCATATCGTCACCTAAAATACAAATTAGCCAAAATTTTCTTTTTGACCGACTTCCAAAAAAAGAGGAGGTTCGCCGGAATATATATATTTTTTTTATGTACCGCATAACTCTGGACCACGGCAACCGATTTCGATAATTCTTTTTTTCATCGGAAAGGTGGTCCCTCAAGTGTGGTCCCGTACTCATTTTGTTTAGATCCGAAATTGGATCATGAAGAAATTAACGATAATCTTAAATTTTTATATGAGAATAGAAGTCAGTTTTGTTTTTTGCTTAAAAGTTACTTGTTGATTAATTATGATGCATTTATTACGAGGTCCCATAACGTCAGTTTCGGCTTTTTTGCATCTCAGGTCACGATATTACCTCTTTTGAAGATTGCATACAATTACATATGCACACTGTATAAACAACTCTTCCAGAAGAGTTTACCGTTTACTCCAATACAATAAAAAAAAATTGCTCTCATAAACCAAAGTCAGAACAATACAGTACAGAAACACAAAACGTACCATAATACAACCATTTTTAGAGGTAGTTTCACTCAGTTACCGAGAACCCGTTCTAGTTTTGGTTTAGTTCTGCACGAGAACACAATGTTATGTCAGGAGCCAAATGAGAACAAAAGTATTGAGAACAGTTTGAACGGGAAAAAAATGAGAATAAAAGGTTTGGTAACGTTTCCGTAAGGAACAAAATGCGAGCAAAACTCTCGTGAACGTTATCAAGAGGAACAAAATGAGAACAGGAACGTTTCCAAAAAAGTTCGTATCTTAAGTCTTTCGTTGACTTTATTTGCATAATTATGTTACAATTCTTTTTTGATTAACTTTAGTATTCAAACATTTCAAGTTATTAGAAATCTATGAGCAAAAATGTATTTTTGCTTCTTTTCTTCGCGAATAATTCAGGGGAGACTTGTTCCCACTTCATTCTCTATCAGAAAGTTTTTGAGACTTTAGTTCCCCAATTGTTCTTCGAGAGAAAGTTCCTTAGACTTTTGTCCCCATCTTTGAAAAGTTTGATATTTTTAATGGTAAAAGTACTCAGAACGCTTTGTTATACAAGCCACGGTTCCTTTGAATGAATTTTAATGAGTACAGATATAACATCGACGGGTTTTTGAGAAAGATAACTTCTTAAAGATAGTTAAGCAATAAACATAAATTATTTCATAAGCTGTTTTGAACTAATTTGACCTCGAAAATTTTTCTCTGATAAAATATAATGATTTTATATTCGTGATCAGAGTCCTCAAATTAGTCCAAAACTCGATTTTTAAAGAAGAAATATTTATTACTTATATATATTTACTAGTGAATGAACTAAATTTAAGAGATTTCATTTCTCAAAAACCCTAGATAGAAGATTTGTATATGTTATATAATGTACAAGTAATAGGTTTTTTCTAGGTTTTCTTTAAAAAAAACGTTTGGCGTAGTAACGGTCGGGCTTTCTGAATCGACTCTGGTTGCGATTGCATTCCTGTTACGAATATATGTAGTTCTTTCAGCGGAGCACCTTTCAAATCTTTGGAATTAACTCAATTAATTAACAAGTATTTACTTACATTTTACATGAAATTCGCCCAAGTTTATAAATTTTTAAATCTCACGAGAATCTTTGTTCAAAAGGACGCTAACCACAAAGCGGTCATGCCTATGGCAAAGCAATCTGGGTTGTAAATCCATTCATTCCGATATACCGCCTTCGAAGTTTTGAAGGCGTATTCGATTACTCAATGTGCATTTGCACAGCTGGGTTATTGCATAATCATGTATGTTTTACGTGATTGCAACTTCTCTCCAAGAGAACTGTCACTTTGTGCTGATGGGCAATTTTTTGGTATAGTTGTTATCGATAACTCTTGACAACTATTGACACATATTTGGTATTGGCTAAGCAAAGTTGCTGTCGACGTTGAGCTCACATGACGCCATTTCTGTAGACACCGTGTTTACTGACGACTGTAAGAAAATTTGTAGGTTCAATTGTTTTTTTAAGAAAAAAAAGCCGTTAGTACCAGGTAATCGTCAAATTAGAAATAAAACCATTTTTTTCATTTCATTTTGGCCCCTATTGCGAGTGTCGACTGGCAGTAGAATAGAAATTTGTCGATCGAGTCGATCATCTTTTATTTTGCTATTGTGTAACTTGATCGATAAAAATTTGTACTATTGTGAATGGTCGATAGAATTGTAAACAGCTGTTTGTTTGTTTACATTTGTTTCTTGAGTGTTTTATTTACATCATTTTTAAAATAATTGCTTTTATTATAAAATTAAAAAAATGGACACAGTTGAAATATGGTTTAGTGATGAAGAAGATGATGCCGAAGCTAA